ACTTTACGAACAACTGAGTTGTCGGTATCACTGGCATTCAAACTTTTCTTCAGTAATCCACACACGATAGGGTAGATTTGCGAAGTGGAAATGTGCTGTTCAGTAGACATATACGTTGTTACATTAGAAACATCCTTCAAAACGGGGACAATATCCCAAAGGACACCGATTAGTCGAGCACTATTTTGGTATTCGATACTCGGTACTACTGATCGATACTCGAGTACTCGTTGACATCCCTATTATTTACTGATTGTTTGGCAGATGACTGAACCTTAACTTTAGATGATGATACCAATTCATTAAAACAGTCCCTATATATTTTTAAAAAGTTCTCCTGAAGTTCTGGTCTACAAACAATGATTTTCTCTCTTTTAATCAATTTCAAGAAACATTTGACATTAAAACAAGTTCTATGGTGTATATCATAATTATGATCCTTAGAAGTTGGAATGACCACTTCTATAAACGAAAACTGTGAAAGGATCAACATTACTTGTGATAATTTTGAGTATTTGAAAACTAATCCAAAATCATGCCCATTTTTTTATAAATTATTTGTGTCTATTTATCGTGAAAAACCAATAAAATCACCAAAAAAATGGAAAGAAATTTTGCATATTACGGAAAAAGATCACATTTTTATATTGCGGTCGTATATTGGTATGACGTTGGCGTCGTCGTCGTCGTGGTCGTCGTCCGAAGACACATTGGTTTTCGCACTCTAACTTTAGTTTAAGTGAATGGATCTCTATGAAATTTTACCATAAGGTTCAATTCCACAAAAGCAAGGTTGAGATTGATTTTGGGGTTATGGTACCAATTGTTAAGGAATTAGGGGCCAAAAAGGGGCCAAAAATAAGCATTTTTGTAACTTCCAGACATAACTTGTGTGTTAGTGTATTGATCTCTCTGACATTGTACCACAAGGTTCCATATCACAAAGGGAATGCTGGGATTGATTTTGGGGGTAATTGCCTCCAAATTTTAGGAATTAGGGGCAACAAAAAGAGGGAAAAAAAGCATTTTTCTAGTTTCATGACGATAACTTGTGTGTAAGTGTATGGATCTTTCTGAAATTGTACTACAAGGTTCCATATCACAAAAGAAAAGCTGGAATTGAGTTTGGTGGTAATTGCTCGAAACGTTTAGGAATAAGGGGCCGAAAAGGTGCAAAAAATAAGCATTTTTCTAGTTTCCAGACAATAACTTGTGTTCAAGTGTATGGATCTCTCTGAAATTGTACTGCAAGGTACCATACCACAAAGGGAAGGCTGGGATTGATTTTGGGGGTAATTGCCTCAAAATTTTAGGAATTAGGGGCCAAAAAGGGAAAAAAACAAGCATTTTTCTAGTTTAAGGACAATAACTTGTGTGTAAGTGTATGGATCTTTATGAAATTGTACTACAAGGTTCCATATCACAAAGGGAAAGCTGGGTTTGAGTTTGGGGGTAATTGCCCTAAAAGTTTAGGAATTTGGGGCCAAAAAGGGGCCAAAAACAAGGTTTTTTCTAGTTTCCAGACAATAACTTGTGTTCAAGTGTACGGATCTCTCTGAAATTGTACTGCAAGGTACCATACCACAAAGGGAATGCTGGGATTGAGTTTGAGAGTGATGAATCATAAGGGGGTTCAAAAAATTTGAGGGGGGATTTTTTTTTCTTTAAAATTTTCCATTTCAAATTGGTTATTTCTGATATATATATTAAAGCAAATAATAATGATATGGTTTGAATAGGTAAATTAATTTTTTTTAAGTCTTAGACCACATTCATTCTGTGTCAGAAACCTATGCTGTGTCAAATATTTAATCACAATCCAAATTCAGTGCTGTATCTAGCTTGAATGTTGTGTCCATACCTGCCCCAACTGTTCAGGGTTCGACCTCTGCGTTTGTATCAAGCTGCGCCCAGCGGAACATTTTATTAAGGTATGACGTTGTCGTCGTCGTCTGAAGACATTTGGTTTCCAGACATTTGCTTCAGTATAAGTGTATGGATCTCTATGGAATTTACCACAAGATTCCATACCACAAAAGGAAGGTTGGGATTGATTTTGGGGGATCTTGTCTTACCTGTTAAGAATAAAGAACCAAAAAAAAATCGTTTATCTGGTTTTGCAGGACAATAACTTGTTTTGAAGTGTATGGATCTCTATGAAATTGTAAAACAGACTCCATACCTCAAAAGGATAGTTGAGATTGATTTTATGGGTTGTGGCTCAAACTGCTTAGGAATTAAGAACCCAAAAGGGGCACATAAAAAACCCAAGGATTTTCTGGTTTCCGGACAATAACTTGAGTTTAAGTCTATAGATCTCTATGAAATTGTACCACTAGGTTCCATACTAAAAAAGGAAAGTTGGGATTGATTTTTGGTGTTATGGCTCTAACCGTTTTGAAAAAAGTGGCAAAAAACAATACGTTTTTTATACGACCGCAAACATTAAAATTTTTTTGGTCGTATATTGGTATGACGTTGGCGTCGTCGTCGTCGTCGTCGTCGTCGTCGTCGTCCGGCGTCGTCCGAAGACACATTGGTTTTCGCACTCTAACTTTAGTTGAAGTGAATGGATCTCCGTGAAATTTTACCATAAGGTTCAATACCACAAAAGGAAGGTTGGGATTGATTTTGGGGGTTATGGTACCAACAGTTAAGGAATTAGGGGCCAAAAAGGGGCCAAAAATAAGCATTTTTGTAACTTCCAGACATAACTTGTGTGTTAGTGTATGGATCTCTCTGACATTGTACCACAAGGTTCCATATCACAAAGGGAATGCTGGGATTGGTTTTGGGGGTAATTGCCTCAAAATTTTAGGAATTAGGGGCCAAAAAAGGGGCAAAAAACAAGCATTTTTCTAGTTTCATGATAATAACTTGTGTGTAAGTGTATGGATCTTTCTGAAATTGAACTACAAGGTTCCATATCACAAAGGGAAAGCTGGAATTGAGTTTGGGGGTAATTGCCCAAAACATTTAGGAATAAGGGGCCAAAAAGGGGCCAAAAATAGCATTTTTATAGTTTCCATACAATAACTTGTGTTCAAGTGTATGGATCTCTCTGAAATTGTACTGCAAGGTACCATACCACAAAGGGAAGGCTGGGATTGAGTTTGGGGGTGATGAATCATAAGGGGTTTCAAAAAATTGGGGGGGGGATTTTTTTTTTTCCTTTTTTTTCTTTTTTTCCCTTTTTTTTCTTTTAAAATTTTCCATTTTAAGTTGGTTATTTCTGATTTATATTTAAAAGCAAATAATAATGATATGGTAGGAGATACACACCAAACAGGATGTGTAAATTATTATATAATAAGTATTGTCCAATAGCAAGAAATTTTCAATTGCACAGTATTGCACAATAGCAAGAAATCTTTCATTGCACAGTATTGCGCAATAGCAAGAAATCTTCAATTGCACAGTATTGCGCAATAGCAAGAAATATCCAATAGCACAATATTGCGCAATAGCAAGAAATTGTCAATTGTACAGTATTGCGCAATAGCAAGAAATATTCAATTGCACAGTATTAATTGCTTATTTCTTGACCTATTTCAATGGGGTTTTATTCTTGAATTCTCGGGGTTCTTTAATATGCTGAATCTAACCGTGTATTAAGTTTTTGGATTTTGGGCCCCGATTTTAAATTGGTCAACATTGAGGTCCAAAGGGTCCAAAATTAAACTTTGTTTGATTTCATCAAAAATTGAATTATTGGGGTTCTTTGATATGCCGAATCTAACCGTGTATTTAGATTCTTAATTTTTGGTTCCGTTTTCAAATTGGTCTACATTAAGGTCCAAAGGGTTCAAAATTAAACTTAGTTTGATTTTAACAAAAATTGAATTCTTAGGGTTCTTTGATATGCTGAATCTAAACATGTATTTAGATTTTTGATTATGGGCCCAGTTTTCAAGTTGGTCCAAATCGGGGTCCAAAATTAAACTTTGTTTGATTCAACAAAAATTGAATATATGGGGTTCTTTGATATGCTGAATCTAACCATGTATTTAGATTTTTGATTTTTGGGCCCCGTTATCAACTTTGTCCACATTGAGGTCAAAAGGGTCCTGAATTAAACTTTGTTTCATTTCATCAAAAATTGAATTCTTGGAGTTCTTTGATATGCCGAATCTAACCGTGTAGTTAGATTCTTAATTTTTGGTTCCGTTTTCAAATTGGTCTACATTAAGGTCCAAAGGGTTCAAAATTAAACTTAGTTTGATTTTAACAAAAATGGAATTCTTAGGGTTCTTTGATATGCTGAATCTAAACATGTATTTAGATTTTCGATTATGGGCCCAGTTTTCAAGTTGGTCCAAATCGGGGTCCAAAATTAAACTTTGTTTGATTCAACAAAAATTGAATATATGGGGTTCTTTGATATGCTGAATCTAACCATGTATTTAGATTTTTGATTTTTGGGCCCCGTTATCAACTTTGTCCACATTGCGGTCAAAAGGGTCCTAAATTAAACTTTGTTTGATTTCATCAAAAATTGAATTCTTGGGGTTCTTTGATATGCCGAATCTAACCGTGTAGTTAGATTCTAAATTTTTGGTTCCGTTTTCAAATTGGTCTACATTAAGGTCCAAAGGGTTCAAAATTAAACTTAGTTTGATTTTAACAAAAATTGAATTCTTAGGGTTCTTTGATATGCTGAATCTAAACATGTATTTAGATTTTTGATTATGGGCCCAGTTTTCAAGTTGGTCCAAATCGGGGTCTAAAATTAAACTTTGTTTGATTCAACAAAAATTGAATATATGGGGTTATTTGATATGCTGAATCTAACCATGTATTTAGATTTTTGATTTTTGGGCCCCGTTATCAACTTTGTCCACATTGAGGTCAAAAGGGTCCTGAATTAAACTTTGTTTCATTTCATCAAAAATTGAATTCTTGGAGTTCTTTGATATGCCGAATCTAACCGTGTAGTTAGATTCTTAATTTTTGGTTCCGTTTTCAAATTGGTCTACATTAAGGTCCAAAGGGTTCAAAATTAAACTTAGTTTGATTTTAACAAAAATGGAATTCTTAGGGTTCTTTGATATGCTGAATCTAAACATGTATTTAGATTTTTGATTATGGGCCCAGTTTTCAAGTTGGTCCAAATCGGGGTCCAAAATTAAACTTTGTTTGATTCAACAAAAATTGAATATATGGGGTTCTTTGATATGCTGAATCTAACCATGTATTTAGATTTTTGATTTTTGGGCCCCGTTATCAACTTTGTCCACATTGCGGTCAAAAGGGTCCTAAATTAAACTTTGTTTGATTTCATCAAAAATTGAATTCTTGGGGTTCTTTGATATGCCGAATCTAACCGTGTAGTTAGATTCTTAATTTTTGGTTCCGTTTTCAAATTGGTCTACATTAAGGTCCAAAGGGTTCAAAATTAAACTTAGTTTGATTTTAACAAAAATTGAATTCTTAGGGTTCTTTGATATGCTGAATCTAAACATGTATTTAGATTTTTGATTATGGGCCCAGTTTTCAAGTTGGTCCAAATCGGGGTCCAAAATTAAACTTTGTTTGATTCAACAAAAATTGAATATATGGGGTTCTTTGATATGCTGAATCTAACCATGTATTTAGATTTTTGATTTTTGGGCCCCGTTATCAACTTTGTCCACATTGAGGTCAAAAGGGTCCTGAATTAAACTTTGTTTCATTTCATCAAAAATTGAATTCTTGGAGTTCTTTGATATGCCGAATCTAACCGTGTAGTTAGATTCTTAATTTTTGGTTCCGTTTTCAAATTGGTCTACATTAAGGTCCAAAGGGTTCAAAATTAAACTTAGTTTGATTTTAACAAAAATGGAATTCTTAGGGTTCTTTGATATGCTGAATCTAAACATGTATTTAGATTTTCGATTATGGGCCCAGTTTTCAAGTTGGTCCAAATCGGGGTCCAAAATTAAACTTTGTTTGATTCAACAAAAATTGAATATATGGGGTTCTTTGATATGCTGAATCTAACCATGTATTTAGATTTTTGATTTTTGGGCCCCGTTATCAACTTTGTCCACATTGCGGTCAAAAGGGTCCTAAATTAAACTTTGTTTGATTTCATCAAAAATTGAATTCTTGGGGTTCTTTGATATGCCGAATCTAACCGTGTAGTTAGATTCTAAATTTTTGGTTCCGTTTTCAAATTGGTCTACATTAAGGTCCAAAGGGTTCAAAATTAAACTTAGTTTGATTTTAACAAAAATTGAATTCTTAGGGTTCTTTGATATGCTGAATCTAAACATGTATTTAGATTTTTGATTATGGGCCCAGTTTTCAAGTTGGTCCAAATCGGGGTCTAAAATTAAACTTTGTTTGATTCAACAAAAATTGAATATATGGGGTTATTTGATATGCTGAATCTAACCATGTATTTAGATTTTTGATTTTTGGGCCCCGTTATCAACTTTGTCCACATTGAGGTCAAAAGGGTCCTGAATTAAACTTTGTTTCATTTCATCAAAAATTGAATTCTTGGAGTTCTTTGATATGCCGAATCTAACCGTGTAGTTAGATTCTTAATTTTTGGTTCCGTTTTCAAATTGGTCTACATTAAGGTCCAAAGGGTTCAAAATTAAACTTAGTTTGATTTTAACAAAAATGGAATTCTTAGGGTTCTTTGATATGCTGAATCTAAACATGTATTTAGATTTTTGATTATGGGCCCAGTTTTCAAGTTGGTCCAAATCGGGGTCCAAAATTAAACTTTGTTTGATTCAACAAAAATTGAATATATGGGGTTCTTTGATATGCTGAATCTAACCATGTATTTAGATTTTTGATTTTTGGGCCCCGTTATCAACTTTGTCCACATTGCGGTCAAAAGGGTCCTAAATTAAACTTTGTTTGATTTCATCAAAAATTGAATTCTTGGGGTTCTTTGATATGCCGAATCTAACCGTGTAGTTAGATTCTTAATTTTTGGTTCCGTTTTCAAATTGGTCTACATTAAGGTCCAAAGGGTTCAAAATTAAACTTAGTTTGATTTTAACAAAAATTGAATTCTTAGGGTTCTTTGATATGCTGAATCTAAACATGTATTTAGATTTTTGATTATGGGCCCAGTTTTCAAGTTGGTCCAAATCGGGGTCCAAAATTAAACTTTGTTTGATTCAACAAAAATTGAATATATGGGGTTCTTTGATATGCTGAATCTAACCATGTATTTAGATTTTTGATTTTTGGGCCCCGTTATCAACTTTGTCCACATTGAGGTCAAAAGGGTCCTGAATTAAACTTTGTTTCATTTCATCAAAAATTGAATTCTTGGAGTTCTTTGATATGCCGAATCTAACCGTGTAGTTAGATTCTTAATTTTTGGTTCCGTTTTCAAATTGGTCTACATTAAGGTCCAAAGGGTTCAAAATTAAACTTAGTTTGATTTTAACAAAAATGGAATTCTTAGGGTTCTTTGATATGCTGAATCTAAACATGTATTTAGATTTTCGATTATGGGCCCAGTTTTCAAGTTGGTCCAAATCGGGGTCCAAAATTAAACTTTGTTTGATTCAACAAAAATTGAATATATGGGGTTCTTTGATATGCTGAATCTAACCATGTATTTAGATTTTTGATTTTTGGGCCCCGTTATCAACTTTGTCCACATTGCGGTCAAAAGGGTCCTAAATTAAACTTTGTTTGATTTCATCAAAAATTGAATTCTTGGGGTTCTTTGATATGCCGAATCTAACCGTGTAGTTAGATTCTAAATTTTTGGTTCCGTTTTCAAATTGGTCTACATTAAGGTCCAAAGGGTTCAAAATTAAACTTAGTTTGATTTTAACAAAAATTGAATTCTTAGGGTTCTTTGATATGCTGAATCTAAACATGTATTTAGATTTTTGATTATGGGCCCAGTTTTCAAGTTGGTCCAAATCGGGGTCTAAAATTAAACTTTGTTTGATTCAACAAAAATTGAATATATGGGGTTATTTGATATGCTGAATCTAACCATGTATTTAGATTTTTGATTTTTGGGCCCCGTTATCAACTTTGTCCACATTGAGGTCAAAAGGGTCCTGAATTAAACTTTGTTTCATTTCATCAAAAATTGAATTCTTGGAGTTCTTTGATATGCCGAATCTAACCGTGTAGTTAGATTCTTAATTTTTGGTTCCGTTTTCAAATTGGTCTACATTAAGGTCCAAAGGGTTCAAAATTAAACTTAGTTTGATTTTAACAAAAATGGAATTCTTAGGGTTCTTTGATATGCTGAATCTAAACATGTATTTAGATTTTTGATTATGGGCCCAGTTTTCAAGTTGGTCCAAATCGGGGTCCAAAATTAAACTTTGTTTGATTCAACAAAAATTGAATATATGGGGTTCTTTGATATGCTGAATCTAACCATGTATTTAGATTTTTGATTTTTGGGCCCCGTTATCAACTTTGTCCACATTGCGGTCAAAAGGGTCCTAAATTAAACTTTGTTTGATTTCATCAAAAATTGAATTCTTGGGGTTCTTTGATATGCCGAATCTAACCGTGTAGTTAGATTCTTAATTTTTGGTTCCGTTTTCAAATTGGTCTACATTAAGGTCCAAAGGGTTCAAAATTAAACTTAGTTTGATTTTAACAAAAATTGAATTCTTAGGGTTCTTTGATATGCTGAATCTAAACATGTATTTAGATTTTTGATTATGGGCCCAGTTTTCAAGTTGGTCCAAATCGGGGTCCAAAATTAAACTTTGTTTGATTCAACAAAAATTGAATATATGGGGTTCTTTGATATGCTGAATCTAACCATGTATTTAGATTTTTGATTTTTGGGCCCCGTTATCAACTTTGTCCACATTGAGGTCAAAAGGGTCCTGAATTAAACTTTGTTTCATTTCATCAAAAATTGAATTCTTGGAGTTCTTTGATATGCCGAATCTAACCGTGTAGTTAGATTCTTAATTTTTGGTTCCGTTTTCAAATTGGTCTACATTAAGGTCCAAAGGGTTCAAAATTAAACTTAGTTTGATTTTAACAAAAATGGAATTCTTAGGGTTCTTTGATATGCTGAATCTAAACATGTATTTAGATTTTTGATTATGGGCCCAGTTTTCAAGTTGGTCCAAATCGGGGTCCAAAATTAAACTTTGTTTGATTCAACAAAAATTGAATATATGGGGTTCTTTGATATGCTGAATCTAACCATGTATTTAGATTTTTGATTTTTGGGCCCCGTTATCAACTTTGTCCACATTGAGGTCAAAAGGGTCCTAAATTAAACTTTGTTTGATTTCATAAAAAATTGAATTCTTGGGGTTCTTTGATATGCCGAATCTAACCGTGTAGTTAGATTCTTAATTTTTGGTTCCGTTTTCAAATTGGTCTACATTAAGGTCCAAAGGGTTCAAAATTAAACTTAGTTTGATTTTAACAAAAATTGAATTCCTAGGGTTCTTTGATATGCTGAATCTAAACATGTATTTAGATTTTTGATTATGGGCCCAGTTTTCAAGTTGGTCCAAATCGGGGTCCAAAATTAAACTTTGTTTGATTTCAACAAAAATTGAATATATGGGGTTCTTTGATATGCTGAATCAAACCATGTATTTAGATTTTTGATTTTTGGGCCCTGTTATCAACTTTGTCCACATTGAGGTCAAAAGGGTCCTAAATTAAACTTTGTTTGATTTCATCAAAAATTGAATTCTTGGGGTTCTTTGATATGCTGAATCTAACCATGTATTTAGATTTTGGATATTGGACCATAATAGGTGAATGTCCAATTTAATAAAAAAAATTTAAGTTCTTAGACCACATTCATTCTGTGTCAGTAACCTATGCTGTGTCAAATATTTAATCACAATCCAAATTCAGAGCTGTATCAAGCTTGAATGTTGTGTCCATACTTGCCCCAACTGTCCAGGGTTCGACCTCTGCGGTCGTATCAAGCTGCGCCCTGCGGAGCATTTTATTATTCTTTGTAAAAATTGCTAATTTCTTGACCATTTTCATGGGGTTTATTTCAAAGTGTTAAATTCTTGGGGTTCTTTAATATGCTGAATCTAACAGTGTATTTAGATTTTGGATTATTGGCCCCGTTTTTAAATTGGGTCACATTGAGGTCAAAAGGGTATATATACCCTTATATTACTCATTAATGTAAAATGATGCAGATACCGTTCTGTGCATCGCTTCTCCAACTACCAGGTTAAATTGATTAACCAGTAACAATATATGTCTTTAATTTAGCATACAGGGGAGTCTATAATATCAAATTTTTCAATCTTTATCATTTGATTTTCGAATGTATTTCCAGTTATCCATTTACGTTTTATGTCAATAGTTACAATTTTGAATGTTCCATCGTGTCATCAGAATAAAGATATGACGAAAACATAAATATAAAACTACTACAACGCAACACTAAATTACAAAATATTGCAAGATTTGACAATAACACAAAACCTAAAATTTCAAACACCAACGCACCATAACGTTCTTTAGGGACAATGAAATAAGTCTTAGGCTAAAAAAGATTGTCATGGACTGAAGAAGATACTGAACAAAACGAAATGTTTCAGCATTAACCTTTACTTCAGGTATTTTATCAGATTTTGAATATAAAGATCACATGACTTCGATTTGCAAATTTTAGCCCCAGTCACACTGTCACGTTTCTGCTATCCCGTTTTGCTACGTTTTAAAACGTAGCGAAACGGCAATAAACGTAGCGAATCGTATCGATCCGTACTTAAAACGGCTATATACGTAGCTATGCGTGGAATGATACGTGATCGGTCCCGTATGTATTGGTCTGCACAATACAAACGTGACTAAAAATAAAAACGTAGTAGGAACGTAGAAAAGCGCAGTAAAACGTAGAAGGAACGTAGAAATACGTATTAGAAACATACCTGATACGTACTAAAACGTATTTGATTCTAATCACTAGGTGTTATTATGTTTTAGTACGTACCTGCCACGTTTCATTAGGTTTTTGTACGGTATATTACGCTTCATGGTACGCATTACTTGGTTTCATTACGTTATTCTAGGCACTATTACGTGTCGATGCGTATTACTACGCATGTTTACCTTCTTCTACGTATAATCAAACCACGTGTATCCATATTCCCGCCATTTGCTAAAATATTTTGAAAAAGAAAAGGTACGGGAAAATCAACAAAGGAAACAACAATAAAAGGCCAAAGAGGTGGACTGAAATATTAAGTAATAGGAAAATGTAATGCACACGTTTACTCCTCCTCTGGTTTCTACTCTGGCAATATGGGGACCCAAGAAGCCAAATTTCTCTTTAATCCATTTGTCTCTTGGTGTATCTTCTTTTCTACCAGAACCAGATTTATTTCCTTCTCATGTATGTCTTCCGAGCTGAGATCTCATTGACTCAACCCATGTCCTGAGACTTTTCCAATCCTCTACCCTTAGCTCATTAGCTTTTGCTTGCCAACGTGTATTCTTGAGAGCTGTATCTTTGTTCTGATAATGAGCTGAAAGAGAAGAAAAAATTCGGTCACATTGATTTTTTAATATGAAGACCATGCTGTAAGTTTATCTATATCTACTGGTTGGGTTACAATCTTTTGACATTTATATTCCGTATTTATATTTTCAATTATATCAAACAAATACATGTACCTTTGTTTTATAGCAGTTCGTTTTCTCTATACTAATCTGCCACCTCATCCTGCTTTTCTTGTGATATTTCTAATGGCTTGTTTCTTTTGCGCTTCTTGTTATCGGCATTAGCTGGCTGTTCAGTTTTACGCTTTTGTTGGTCAGAATTAATAGTTTGTGTTTGCTCATTTGTATCACTTGTATTAGTTACTTCATTATCAGGCGACGGACTAACTTTGCGGCCTCTACCACGCCCTCCACGACCCCTTCCTCTGCCTCTGGTCCTCATCAGAACGGTCTGGTTTGAAACACACTAAAAAGATAAATCAAATACCGGTAGGAGGGAAATTGGAATTAAAACGACAATGTGCAACGTAAAACATTTCAAAAGAGCAATTAACATAAAAGGGAAAACATTGACCAGGTTCCCACCAAGGCTTTGAATTTTTTTCATGATTCGTGTATCCACTCAACAAAAATGTTATCTGAAAAAAAACCAAAACAAATAAATCTTGCTTTTGGAGTACAATAACATCAAATTTTTTAGACCAAAAAAAATGACAAAAAATTACATGAAACGTAGCATTTCTAAACGTACTAAAACCTAGCTGTCGAAACGTGACAGTGTGACTGGGGCTTAATACATTCATTTTTTTTTCTTTACGTTGTAGAGGCTAACGACATGAATTTCATCTTTCTGTTGGCTTTGACTGTGTTTATTGAAAAATCATGTAAGTTTATTTACTTTATTGCGTTCCTTTAAGAATCTTCTAAACATGATAGTTAGAGGAATAAATATTTTGTGAAAATATATTAAAGAGATATCCCATTTAGATCAATTGATCAGAAATAGATCAAGTTAATAAAATACGACTGCTAAAGGCTTGGCTCCATATTTTTAAGGATTGAAAAGTAAGCGCATTTCCCTAAAAAGGGCAAAGGGAATTCATCTACTCTCATGTGGGCGACCATATCGGCACTAAATAAATCTAAAAAGGATATTTTGTAAAAGGTCCTTTATATCTTCATTTCGAATATTGTTAAAACTATAGTTTGCTTCCTGATTTCTGGAATTAAAAATGTTGAAGTACTAGAATCAAACTAAGTATTATCATTGCTGTCCGTTTTTCTTGTTTGATCGAAAGCACAAGGATTTGTTATAAGACTTTTTGCAAATTATTTTGGCCGTTAAAAAAAAAGAAATAACACTTTAAAATGTGTATGCGTCCGAAGCGCTTTTCTGAATTTACCTTCATCAGGAACGCTCAAAGCCAAATATTTGAAAGAAACCAAGGATGTGTAACTAAAATAGGTCAAAAACTATATGACCAGAAAAGGACATAAAAATAGCTAAATCCAAATGGGCACAAGACATTTGAGCTATCATCATAAGCGTGACCATGGTATAATTTGGGCAAATAAAATTTGAAGTCAAGTTTACATTTGGGTTATTTATATTTATTCCTTGACATGTAAATAACAGGCAAAATTTTGCTTTATCAAATTTTGATAGAACATAAATGAAATATAAATGAAAAAATGAAAAAAAAATTCTGTCATTTTCATACTTGCCTGATTTTACCATTCTACAATTCAGTGCCTCAAACCATATTTGATTTTATTGATGTACTTATCAAGATACAAGCTACAACCTTTATATTTAGAAAATCGTACTAGTTTGAAAAGTAAAGAATTTGAAGTCTTTAAGTTTCTTCAGTTAATGGAAATAAGTTTACTGTAACAGTTTAGATCAGGCATTTTCATTGGATTGCAGTTGTTTAAGGCTGTTAGCTTTAAATTCAGGTCCACAAATTATCTTTGAGAACAATCAACTGAATGTAATGTTTATTTCCGTAACCTTGGTGTTTTATATCTGCATAGTTTAAAACATCCTTTAGTGCTATACAGACTTATCATGGCCTACTCAAAATCCCTGGACTGGAAGAAAAAAAACAAACCCTAGCGAACAGAAGAGGTACATACAACAAGAACATATTATACATAAAATGTTATGAAATATAGATAGTTTACCTGTAGTTTACCTGTACATGGAAGGATTAGCTCAAATGTAGAATTTAAATTTAGACCAAATGCCGACTTGCCATTGGCCCAATCATTACATATATTTGGCCCAAATGTCACATCATTTAGCCCAAAAGTGAATCTCCTATCCCAACAACGTCAACTTTGCATGAGGAAGTTGAACGCTAAGTTTGTTAATAATTTATTTTAAAAAATCATGTGAAAAAAATCATGTCAGTACTGAACTTAATATGATACCATCGGGAATTGATACACATGTAGCTTACCAGCAGTGGTATCAACCCATTGCTATAACAAATGAAAATAACACTTTAAAATATGTATGCGTCCGAAGCGCTTTTCTGGATTTACCTTCACCAGGAACGCTCAAAGCTAAATATTTGAAAGACAAGAATGTATACGAAACGAAACCGACAACGAGCTGTATGAACTTAAAGAACCTAACACAAAAGGCAAATTTATCTGAGGTCAACTTCGCTTTGAATATTGTAAACTTATTCAGTATTTGAAAAAATTAAATAACATGTTATTTTCTATATGTTTCAATGTGATCTCAATGTCGCTATCTATTATACATGTAATATGCACCACGATCCAACCCAAAATGAAGAATGGACTATTGCATTTTGTAAGTGTGCACAATTGTCAATTCTCCTAATTTGAAAGGATTTAAAAGTGGCAAATTAGAATTATTCATTTTAACTGTGGTCTAATGTTTGTGTAATGGAAACGAAATGAGATTTAAAAAGGGTACGAAGTTTGTTATAAAAAAAAGGACATACAAGACCACTGCCATTAGAAAAGGGATGAAAAGAAAACCAATTGAAACAAAACAATACACAGAAAATTAACACAAACATCGTTAATAAGGGGTTTGAGATGGGTGGTGAATTGAGGTGTAAGGATCATTGAGGTGGTGCAGCTCCACTATTACACCCATACAGTTGTGCATGAAAAGAAAAACACGAATGTTACGTCATATTCATGACAACTCTGACATGAAAGAGGTAAGGAGCTTTACAACTAGAACTTACATAGAAGTCATCCGAACTGCAATTAAACACATTTATAATTTGAAAGTTTAAGAAAAGTTATCAGATGTACCCATTCATATATAGTAAATGCTGGGTGTGTCGGTTGTAAAAGTAACCAAAACAGAAAAATGAAGAGCGGATACTTCGCTGAGATGTATCACGGTAGGTATAGTGTCAGGCTAGAATCGTGGTTTTTCGAGTGATATGATCGTTTTTTTTCGAGTGTGACCACGTTTTATAGAGTGAATATGATCAAAAATG